TTTAAAATGTCTAGAACATTTAAAATGTCCAGAAAAATTTTACAAAATAAAGCACGCTGAGCAATATCCTTTGACTGTCTCTGTAGCTTTAACAGTATGAAGCGCTACATTACAGAGACTAGATCACTTTAGGCCCATCTCCTTATGTAGTCTCCTCTGTTCATGCTTGGTTATGCAATAGACACATCCAAAATGAGGTTTATATCTATGTTTGTTATTTAAAACTCCAGATTCCATGAATAGAACACAAAAGGACTATGAGAATAAACCCATTTTAACACTATGTGGGAACAATGAGACCAGTGAGTCCACATTCCCTTGTCTATATCTGGAGGGAAATGCCTCTGCAAAATATTCCAGGCAATAGGCATGGAAGACATACCATGCCTCTCAGCATTGCAGCCAATTTAAAGATGTATATACATATATATCCATATGTATGTGTGTATATATATGTATATATTCATTCTTCTTTCTTTCAACTTTTAAAAATGTCCTTTGGCTCCTTGAATTGTCTTGTCTGGAACCTTCTAGATACAGTGTCAATCATCTTTCAGCTTAAACGAGCTTTCTTAAGAGGATAATCCCTGCAGCATCCCCTGAGCATCAGAGAGATGTGGTGGTAAGCAGAAGCCAATGGTTCTGTTCTTATTTTTCCGGCTCACTTGCTGAGAATCCTTTGCCTAACCTCCCTTCTCTACCACCAACCACACAGCATTTTATTCCCAGAGACACAATGCATCCATCACGCCAGCTTGAAGTAAATTCCCAGCCAAGCCCTGTCAATACTGAGGCCTAAATATTAATTTGTGGTTGACTTCCAGCCTCTTCTTATTTCATGGTTTCTTTTTCTCTTGGGAGTTGAACAGCCCAGGGATATATTTCTGAAATATCCTTCATTGTTTCTGTTCTCTTAACTGTATTTTGCTTTTCAGCCTCAAAATTCTGAGAACAAAAAGTCTCCTGATAAGAATAGGTCTGAGTAACGGATATTCACCATCTCCCAGACCTTCATGGGCAGGATCACTTAGGACTTAGGTTCCACGACAGTTTAAAAACTTAAGTTACTTAGTTTAGCATGCTTGGATTGAATTAAGGGTCTTATGCAAGGCTGCCTTGCTGCTGATGGCCAGTCTATTCTTTTCTGAATGGTAATTATTTCTTTTGACATCTGTCACTTGGATGGTGAGAGTAGAAACCACGTTTTTGCTCATTTACAATGACTGGAATTTTGCAAAAAGAAATTCTTCAAAGCGTGCCTGGAAGTCTATGATAGCAAAATGAATTGCTTAAGTTAGAATTACTGGTTAGCTTTACTGGTTAGCTAACTCTGTGCTGTGGAAAACAAACTCCTTTTTCTGACCCTTAACCTCATTTAGAGGTTTCCTCACAGTTGACCTGCAGCAGGGGGTGAGCCTCATGCTTACTGACACATGTGAAAAGATTGTCACATTTCCATCTAGACAGAAGCTATTATCATCTGCATCCCTTCTCCCAGGAAGTGAGTTCCTCTGGCACCTCTGGAGAAAGGTTGACTTGGTTTGGGCTTATTCCTGACTTTGATAACACATATAATTGACTTGATGACATATATGCAGTTGTTCAAAATATTATGTTGTAATTCACAAATGCATTTTTATTAAAGATTTCAAAGCTGCAAGATCTTGTTGAACACAGGCTCATCTAAAACTTGGTTTAAATGAAAGCTCTCCTCATAAGGACCCCATCTCAGTACAATGGCAGGACTTCATGTCCCTTACCCTTTCAGAAACCAGAGGAAGCAGTCAGAACCAGTAACCATGAGCGATGCTCACAAATTTCTTATTTTCCAGAGCCTTGAATTCACCATTTAAAATGTGGCTAGGCTCAGATTTTCTCTTTTGTCTGTACTGGACTTTTTCAATGACAACATGCCACCAACCAAGTGGTTCAGATGCCTAATGATCAAATCAAGTCAAAAGGTCAGCAGAAAACCCTGTGAACTTTATGTAGTGTCATGTAGAATGATGTCAGCAGGCATCAAGTGCTAAACGTGCTTTTCTGTAGCAATACCAATGAGCTTCTGAGTGGTTATCGTTTGACAGGAGAAAATACACTATAATACACTGAAAGAATGGCTTTTTATTACTTAGATCTAGACTCAAATTTGTTCTCTGGTTTTACTAAGAATGTGACCACTAGCCTCAGTATTTTCTTCTATAAAATTTATATACAGTTATTCACCAGTCAAGACTTTTATAAAAATTAAAGATAGGATATCATTTAAAACAATGGATACTTAAAGGTACTGCCTATAGCAGCTAGGGATCTTGTATAATAATCACAATAGTGATCTTACCATGTTAATGATAATTCTTAGAAATGGCAATTAACTGCTTTAGAAGTTATAAGTATCAACTCATTTCTCTCCCTGACATAAGCGCAATGACTATTACTGATCCTGCTTTAGAACTAAGACACACAGACATCAAGGAAAAGATTGCAGCTTGACTGCAAACCAGAGTACAGAACCATTCTCTGCTGCCTTCTGGCAGAATGATGCTGTTATGAACTTAGTGGTATAGTGACATGGATGGCAAGCTTTAGATAACTCATTAAGACAAGGCATTCATCACCCTACTGTGCATAGCCTTGTAACTACATACACTGAGATCTATACACTTGGAATGGGATTGTGTCCACTAGGTGGCATTGCTGTTTTAGCAAAATCTGAACAGAGCCCATGTTTAACAGTCTGTTATATTTGAGAGTACTCACAGGACACTTCTAATTTCACCCTCAAAGTCTGATGAAAATTTAGAGCACATGTAGAGATCTGTAGAGACTAGTGATGTCTTGAAATGATTATGAAAAGTTCTCTTTGGGTGTCAGTGCCTCTGCAGGAAGCTCTGACGAGATGTACAGTTACCCAGTTCTTGTCTATCAGCTCATAGAAAAACAGACTGAGGGCCAGAAAGGGAAAGTGCCTGTCCACTGTCCACAGGAGCCTAGAGCCAATGGTTTGGTCTGCAGCTTTCTTATCATAATTTCTATTGATGAAAAGTCATAAATAAACTGTGAATGCTTCGTTTTGTGTATGAGGCCTAGATTGCTAAGTAATTTCCAGTTTTCATTTCACTGGGATTTGAATGTATGCTCCTAACCAATACTACACTCAAGAACTTGTATATTAAGTAGTACCTTACTTTGTTTTGGCACAGCTTTTTGGCAAGATTGCGGGGCCTCTGCATACAAAGGCTATCCCTATGAGTTGTGAATACAGCAAGCAGCAGGTAACTGGGTGAGCACAAGACCCTGGAATCAGGCATCCTGAAGTAGACGCTTGGGCTCTATCAGTGAGCTGCCCTAGGCCTTTGTAGCTCCCTGTTTCTGCAGTAAAATAGGATTTTTGTTTTTACTCTTTAGACTTTTATGAAATCAAAATGTTTGAAAATATTTCTGTTACAGTAAGGATGTGGGTAAAGATAGCAATACAGTGGACTAGTCAGAGTCCAGATATTGGTGCCTCCTGGCTGGGATATTAACAATTTCATTTTCTGCCACATGATGAGCCACTGAAATGGAAAAGTAACATCTCAGGTTTATCATTGTGTGTCATTGCTTCTTCATCAGACACGTCATAAGCAGCCTAGAACACAGCCATAGATTTCATTATATGTTCCCAGCAAATTCAAATGAAAAAGCTATGGGATCCAGACACTTATCTGATGGCAACTAAGCACAGGGCTTATAAAAGTAAGCATAGTGGAGAACTTGGTGGGTCCTTGTTGATGTTGTCCTTATAATATCCCCCTGCCCTAAAACCATGCTTTGTCCTCTTCAAAGATTAGAGATATGGGGTCAAGGAACTCCCTGTTATAATCTACAGAGCCAGGATTAGAACTCAGGTTGCCTGCCCCCTAGCCTCGAAACAGTCATTTCTGCTTTTGCTCTAAGTTCTCCACCGTGAGGTGGACATGTAGCTCTGCTGCCTGGGAGGGAAATGTATTGAGAGAGTTTGCTGCTATTTTTGTGGCAGTCCTTTATTGAGATTAACATTAGACTGTCAAGTTTAACAGGGTGAAACAAAATTACTGTAGATCAGAAGAGGGCTTGCCTGAGATGGGGCACCCCTGAGATTGTGCACTAACAGGTCAAAAGTCATCATAGCTAAAAGATGCTCATGATTAACTTGTTACTCTGTATTGCACAGCCTTCAAGACCATAAGTCTTATTGCTGTGATTCAGAATCCCATGTAAATTTCATGTGTGTACATGCACATGTGTGTATCTCCATGTATGTGGGACAACCTTGACTGTTGCTTCTCAGGGGCTGTCCACTTTGTTATTTTGGGATAGGCTCTGTCTCTGGCTCAGAGCTCAAGTAATCTAGGCTGGCTGGCCAAAGAGCCCAGGAGTCCTTCTCAGTGCTGAGATTATTAAGGGGGGTAACATGTTTTTAAAAAAACATCGATTCTGGGGATTAAACTTCAGCCCTTGTGTGTGAGTGCTCGCCCTAGGATCCTCATGTCAAATTCTTGAATTTAGTTTCGTAAAATTCATAGCTATCTTTTGGGCTGCCTGCTTCACCTTCACAAAGAGGGAAGCAGTACTTTGTGCTTAAGGTGTGCCTACAGCCATCTTTGAGACACATATTCATTGTATTGCTCCTTATTGTGGCCACTTCTCTATGAATAACATTATTTTGGAAAGCTAGGAAATTTTTTTGCTCCCACCAACATTTTTTCTTCTATAAGAATCCAAATTCACTGAGAGCATCCATTCTTCCCTTGTAGATAGCATCTTTCTATTTGTTCCTTCTTCCTTCACTCAAAATAACTTTTATGGGGCAAGGGGATAGTGACAATTGTTAGAGTCTAAGCCAATTTCATTTGCTCAGTAGAAACCAGGTATGCATGCAATTTAATTTAGAGCTGTAAGGGTGCCTTTACTAAGCAGGACTAAGGCACCTTCAAGAGAGAACCTTCCAGAAATAAAACCCAGAGAAGATTCATACTCACCGATCTCAGTCATTGTTATCCCCGGAGCTAACTGCCCGTTGTTGAAAGAGCTATAGGTAAACAAGTTGGGTACGGATGTGAGGTCATAGATAGGTTCTTGCTTTATCTGTTTGATTCCAGTCATGTCCAGTCCTGACTGATCGGGCGATGGCTGACCAGAATCTATGTTGTAATATCCCTCGGATTTCGGCAAGTCAATGACGTGCCCGTTGGCGTAGGTGCCGCCGCTCTCAGTGTTCAGGTTGCTGAGGCCGTTGCTGATGCTGCTGCTGTACACCCTGGCAAGGGCCTCTGCCTCCCCACTCTGCTGCTGCCGCTGCTCCTGCAGCCGCTGCTGGTGCTTCTGCACCTCAGCGTACAGGCTGTCCCGCTGCTTCTTGGACATCCTCCCGAACTTTACAGCTGGGATGGAGACAAGAGCAAAAGACAGCAGTGTGGTTACCATTATCTTTAGCCATTTCACTCTAAGGGACATGGGTGGTTGTCCCTTCAGTATCATATAGACAAATCCCTATTGCTACAAACCAGGCCTTCACTCATTTAGATTTCACATTTAGGGAAATATTATATTTGGAGGGTGTGTTAGCTTGCCTCAGAGTGATGAAATCTGTGTGTTGTCCAGCTTTCTGCTACTCTCACTGAGATGATCAACTTAGAAGTAGAAAAGTTTATTTGTGGCTCACAGTATTAACGACTTTTGTGCCACTGGCACAGTAGGACACTATGTTAGAGAATGTGTGGTAGAGCAATTCAACCCAAGCAAGCAAAAGAGAGGAAAAGGAAGGGGCTGAGGTTCCAGTATTTCCTTCAGACGGATGCTCCCTAGTGACTTAAGGCCTCTCTCCTAGGCCCCACCTTCTAAAGGTTCTACAGCCTCTCAACGGTGGGGTCCACATCCTTAATTTATGTTAAGATATCGACCTTTGGGGGGGCATTCAATACCTAAACACTAACAGTAAGCTAGGAAGAAATGTAAAAATGTGTATTATTTGTCATCCCTATGGAATTGGAAGATGTATTATTCATCCCTCTCTCTCTCTCTCCATTTGTGAACAGCATATTCAAAACCCAAACAATAAAACTTATGATACTAGCAAAGGTTTCCTGCTATTAAAATGGCCTCCATAATCAATACTGACTTTCTTCCCTATCATTAGGATTACCAGACCCCCAGGAAGAAGCCCATTGCTTCAGTTTGGGACATATCTTTTTTTAATTGGTAAGACCAAGGATTCAGGGGGTGTGAAAAACCTCATGAGTTGCCACCATTTTGGATTTTGGAGCAAATGATAACCTTTGGATAGTGGCATTTATATACACTCATGGCAAGTGAACCAGCAAGAGCAACTTCCATTATCATTCTGGACTGAAGGTTTATTTTGCCCTTTTTGGCAGCCAAATCCTCAGGTATTTAGGGGGAAACTGAGGGAGAGGCTCCCTGAGTGTCTGGGAATAATATAAAGAAGCTTTCATCCCCATGCACAGCTTCCTGACCTGTGGCACACCACCTCCTGAACTGTTATGGATAGTGACTTCTTTCTCACAAGCTGTCAACCTCTCTTTTAGCACCTGGGCATGTTGGGTACTGGACTCCTGGTTCAACTCATCTTGCATTCTGTACCTCATATCAATGGTGGGGACTATGGTAGTCTTGGAGATGCTCATCTGAGTTTCTGATTTCTTTTCTTTGGTGGTGGTGCAAGTGTCCCCATGGTTTTTGATGTCAGGATCTCAGAGGGTGTAGAGAGGAGGCACACACTGGAAGCGCTTGCAGGCTCTCCAGCTCAGAGGGTCGACAGAGGAGGCCTGTATCTTGAGGATGCTGCCATTCACTCCCTACAGCATTCATCCAAATCCATCTTCCCCTTTCATTGGGAATGGTGCTAGCAAATCTTATTTGAGTATGGCTTGTTCAAAATAGGGACCAAACTTCCCAGCCCTGATAACTGAGCAGTGTGACTGTGTGACTAAGTTCTGGATAACAGGCTCTGCAGGCTGACAGGGGTGTTCAGATACTCCTAGGTATAGTGGCATGTTTTCTCTACTCTTGCCTGCCAGATTGAAGCTATGACTGGCTGGACTTTAACACCCGCAGGCCTCCCCTCTTTCTTCTTACTCCTTAATCTTTCTCAAAGATAATTCCTGTGCCCTGGCTTCTCCGTGCTGCTTAAGTAGGAAGATGAAGCAGTAATTATCCTGTAGTTTTCCTCAATGAAGAGAAACAATCTAATTAACTACTAGCAAACTCTCCTTTTCCCTGTCAGTTGTTGCTTTTCCTGGGCGTTGAATTGGTTTAGATTATTGTGTTGTATTTAACTTGCTGCATAGTCGCTGCTGTTGTTAGAGACTCTGCTTCTCAGAATTTGTTTTTGGATTGCAGTGGTATTTCCGTTTGACCATGGACAGAATTCTACTGGATGGTTAGGGAAACTTTTCCTTGTACTTTTATATTATGTTATTACAAATAACTTACATTTTGTTCTCTAGAGGAACAATGCCATTTTTATAAGGAAAATTAAATAATATTCGGCACTGACTTGGCAGGACTGAGTCCCAAGAAAGTGGTGCTCATCTTCTCTATTGTTGACCTTTGCTCCTTTGCACGGGGGTCAGCGCAGACGGTTCTTATGACAGCTACAGTCTTCTCATTGCAAGCACTGACTCTATTCCACAAGATTAAGATTTTGTAGTAACTTTATAGAACAGTGTGCATTTATAGGTTTAAGTCATAGGAATTAAAAATCAAGAATGAATGGGCTGGAGAGATGGCTCAGAGGTTAAGAGCACCGACTGCTCTTCCAGGGGTCCTGAGTTCAATTCCCAGCAACCACATGGTAGCTCACAACCATCCATTATGAGATCTGGTGCCCTTTTCTGGTGTGCAGATATACATGGAAGCAGCATGTTGTATACATAATAAATAAATAAAATCTTAAAAAAAAAACAAGAGTGAGTCAGTTTTCTTCATGGGATCAGAACTGCCTTTAAAAAAATACTAGCCATTTAACCCTCAAGTCAGATTTCTATGTATTTTGAGGCAGAGTGATAGTGACACCAATTCCTTTTACCTGTACCCTTTTATGTTCCCCATGTCTATTCCCAATTCCCTTTCATTCTGTGCAGGCCTGTAGCCCAACCCTGGACTCCCAGTCACATGACCTGCCTAGGTCAATGGGTTATTGACAAATGTGTGACAAGCAGAAACCTGAAAAGGGCCTGCTTGATTGGGTACATCACCATGGCAAGGACATGCCTGAACTAGATTGCTGAACAACAGGATATGCAAAGCTGATTCAGGCCTCTTCTATCACCCAAGCAAGGCCATCCACCATCAGCAGGGTCATAGACTGACCTGCAGCCAAAGCATGCCTCCGTGTGCTGTTAACCATAGTCCTTGTAATTAGAGCTAATGATGTTGGAAAAGTATGTTGCCAAGGGCTCTGCTGTAATCATCTGAAGACTTGACAGAAAAATGTACATCTTTTGTACAAGGCTCACTTGTTAGGTGACAGAGCAATTGGAATATCTAGAAAGAGGCAGCTTAAAGAGCCTACAGTTTGGAATTCTCAGGCTTTGTTTTAAATCAAAGACTTTATAGGCACTGACTACAGAGCTACTCCAGGACAAGTTTTCCATTTATTTCAGAAGAGTGTTTCAGTTTTATGTCCTCTCCTACAATAAAGCTGATGATATACTCTGGGGGAAAATGTACAGTACACCCTGAAAATACACCTATGGAACGTTTCTGACATAGAAATATTCCTGGCTATTATCTGCAAGCACCTTGATGTATTCAAAGCTCACGTTAACAAAGGCCATCTACTGTTATATTTTCAAGTATTTGCATGCTTTTCATCACTCCTCATGAGTGAGCACAGCACTCTTTTAGCCTCTTGCCTCTCTTAAACCTGATTTATTCTGCTAATGACATTCACTTGCGTATAGAGACAGTTTTTTTTTTTTGTTAAACTGCCGTGTCTTAAGAAAAACCAGCATGATTCTGTATACATTGCAAGAGATTTACAAATAACCAGGATGACAGCATCAATATCTAATACATGTTTAACCCTCACTTCAGCCTCACACTAGCAAAGGACACTTCTGTGTAGGAGGGCCAGAAATCATGTCACTGTTGTCTACAGTATGGGATTCTAAGTAGAAGAGATGTTTTCAGGGTGATTGGAATTAAAAAGTCATTGCTCCATCAAAAGATTTCTACTTCCTGCTGCTCGAGAACTGAATAGGTTTGTTCTTTTAAATTTAATTCATTTTACATACCAACCACAGATTCCCCTCCCTGCCCACCTCCTGCTGCTCTCCTCACCCCCATCCACTCCTCAGAAAGGGTAAGGTCTCCAGTGGCGAGTCAACAAAGCCCCGAACAGGTGATTTGGAGACTCCAGCTGCATAAACATCACATGTGACTCTGGGGTCATTTAGAAATTGTCTTCTTACTGTCTTTAAGTCTCCAAGTCTATAGGTTTCTACCTGCTTTGTACTAGTCAAACCTGTCCCAGTTTACCTCTTTCAGTGTTGGAGATAAGCTAGCACCTTTAGGGATCTAAACTTTGTATTAGAAGTCTGATTCAGTCTACTCATTTCTCTCCAAATAGTTCCTCTGAGGGTTGATTTGTAGAGCTCAGTTAACAGAAAATCAGAAGCCAGGCATGGGGGCACAGGCCTGTAATCCCAGGACTCGGGAGGGTGAGGCACGAAGACCATCCTTGTCTACACAGCCTGGAGTCTGAAGCCAGCCTGGACAATAGACTGGGACTCTATTTCAATAGTCAAGCAACCAACCAAAATAACAAACAGAATGAATATACATCAGGAAGGAGAAAATTCAAGATATGTGGTATCTACTCCTACGCACTTTTGCCACTTTGCAGCACAGGAGTATGTATGCATTATTTAAGATGCATTCGTTTTTCTTTATTTCTTTGACAAGGTAGATTTGAGTAAATTTGTAACCCTCGAGTTTGATGTCTGCTCATATAATGCAGGAAAGGATAGAAAGCCAATGATTTGAATAGTAAGGAATCTGTTTGCCAGCAGCCACGATGTTCCAGTGACCAGATGTGGTGAAGTAAGAGCCACACGTAAGTGGCAGACAGCAAGTGTGTGTACCACAGTGAAGACACTACTGCATCATTGAGGGAGGTGTGAGGACATCTTACCCTGGCTCCTGTACTACTGCTAAAGCATTTTGCTAGGATTTGCTGAGTCAGTAGTTGGGAATATGTGGATTTTAGACATAGAGTAAAGGATTACCAGCCTACAATCCACACTGTCAGAGAAGCTAGGAAACAAGGAGGACCCTAAGAGAGACATACATGGTCCCCTGGAGAAGAGGCCAGGGACAAGATCCCCTGAGCAAATTGAGAGCACGGGAAGAGGGGGGAGGGAGCTAGGAGAATGAGAAGGGGAGAAGAGGAGGGATGCAGAGGACATGAGGGAGCAGAAAGGTTGAGTCAGGGAAAGAATAGAAGATAACAAGAATGGGGATACCATAATAGAGGGAGACATTTTAGGTTTACAGAGAAATCAGGCACTAGGGAAATGTCTGGAGAGCTACAAAGATGACACCAGCTAACAATCTAAGCAACAGAGGAGAGGCTACCTTAAATGCTCTCCCCTGATAATGAGATTGATGACTAATTCATATGCCTAATTCATAGCTTTCATCCAGCAGCTGATGGAAGTAGAAGCAGACACCCACAGTTAAACCTTGAACTGAACTGAAATCCAATTGCAGAGAAGGAGGACCGATGAGCAAAGGGGTTCATACCAGGCTGGTGAAACCCACAGAAACAACTGACCTGAACAAGGGAGAGCTCTTGGTCCCCAGACTGATAGCTGAGAAACCAGCATGGGGCTGACCCTTGAATGTGGGTGTCAGTGAGGAGACCTCAGAAATCTATGGGGCCCCTTGTAGTGGATCAGTACTTACCCCTAGCATAGGAATGAACTTTGGGAGCCCATCTGAAAAGGAAGGATACTCCCTGAGCCTAGACACACGGGATGGGCCTAGGCCCTATCCCAAAGGATATGACAGACTCTGAAGACCCCCTACGGAAGGCCTCACCCTCCCTGGGGAGTAGAAAAGGTATGGGATAGGTAGGGGGTTAGTTGGGGGGGGGGAGGGGAGGGAGAGGGACCTGGGATTGACATGTGAAATAATCTTCTTTCTAATTAAAATAAAAATTAAACAATAAGTGGTAGGTGATACTACACTGCTCATTCTCAAGTCCTGATTAGACAAAATGAAAAACCATAGCTGTAGAACTTTAGGGCTCTTCAGTACCATCTGTTACCATCACTTACTGGAACAGATAAATCCCTATCAGCCCCGATGCTAGTGGGATTTGCTCATGATACTAGGCCATTTATAACACAGAATGCTGCCATAAGAAAGCCGGGGCTAATGTTTATAGTATAAGAATGTGTGTGAAAGACTAAGAGTGAAAAAAAAAAAAGAAGCACAATTCTTTGTTTACCATGCTTGAACTTTTCATCTTGCATCATGAATCTAAGCAATTGGTTGTGTGTGGAGGAGAAACACACACTCTATCATCTAATGAGTGGAAACACAGGGCCCCTGAATGCATGTGCCCTCTTCGTTATCAGAATAGTCCAGGTCTCTCACTGGGCATTTATTAACAGGTAGTGAGTAGCCTCACTTCCCAGGGAGACATGTTCTGCTCCTAGTATGTCCATACACTAAGTGACTGTATACATCAGACAGCTCTGGTGAGTGCATGGCTTCTCTTAACCTAGGGCTTTCTAACTTTAGCCCTGAAAGTCTCACATCCCAGGAAAGCCCTCTTTCCCAGAAAATATGGCCAGGTAGTCATGTGCTATCTAGCCTTAACCTGGTCTTCACTTAACCTAGATAGCATAGGCTGCTCTCCAAACCTCCATTACCCTCCTTTTTCTTCTTATTTCTCAGGCAGTTCTACATTTGATATGTTCCTGCTTTATTTCTTAATTCATGACCAGCACTCTGGTTTTCTTTTCTTCATATCCCCAACTCCCACAGTTAAAACTCTTTCAGTGGCTTGAATAGCCTCTAGCCAAACATCCATTTGAAAACTCTAAGAAATAGGAAGGCAGAGCCTTACCATCTCTTGACATTCCTAGGGCAAGACACTTCTGCAGTCGGCAGTGTTGGCAACGGTTCCTGTTGGTTCTGTCAATTAAACAGTTTCTCTGCCTTGGGCAGGAGTAAGAGGCATTGTTCTGCTGGCTCCTCCTGAAGAATCCCTAGAGACGAAAAGAGAAAGCGAGGGCAGGAGACTCAGAGAAAGGGCAACATTAGCATATACACTGATAGACTTTATACAAGGAGTATAACTGAGTTTAATCTTTCAAAAGTTCTTGAGTGCTTCTTGGAGAGCTTATAGATAATTCTGAGCAGAATATATGGGCGTATTTATGGACATGCGATATCATCTGTCTTCAATTGTTCGTTCGTTTGTTAGTTCATTCTTCATTCATTCATTCATTCATTCATTCATTCAATATTTACTGAAAGAATTTCTTTGAGAGAAAAAGTTCTACCCCAAAGGAACAACAGAGAAGGAACATCAAAGAGGCATGTCAAAGTCTGGTGGAGACATGGGCTTGGGTTTGAACTAAGGCTGTGGGTATTGGTAGGAGGCACAGCGTCAAAGGAGTGTGGGCTCAGCATTAGCCCCATTTTGCCTACATTCTAAAATGTCTTTCCAAATCTGAAAAAAAAACCATTGTCCAGAAAGTGTTAATGCCTCTCTCTCTCTCTCCCTCTCTCTCTCTGTCTCTCTCTCTTTCTTTCTTTCTTTCTTTCTCGCTCTTATTTATTTATTTATTTATTTTATTTATTTATTTATTTATTTATTGAGGCAGAGCCTTACCATGCAACTTTGGTATTTCTGGCTGTCCTGGAACTGGCTTTGTATACCAGGTTGGACTTGAACTCATAGAGATCTGCCTGTCTCTGCCTCCTCAGTGCTGGGATTATACACCATCACATTGTGCAGCAAGTTGCTTTTGAAACCTGTGGTATATCTTATCATAAATCCATTTGAGTCAAAGAAATTCTAAGTATGATTTCTTTGGTATAAAACAGGCAATAAACAAATGCCTGCTTTTAGGTTATAGGATATAAGTTCTTATTTCATGTTGGTTTAGGTTCTTCTGGTGTAGAAGAGCTACAACTGACTGCACATGGCCGCTTGACATCTGTAGCTGGGTTTCTTGTTATTTTTAATTCTTTGGATACCAACCTCCCTTAGTTTCCTTATGAAGAAAACATAGTAAGGAAAACTAAACATCTCCCCCAGAGACATGACAGTTAGCATTCTCTGTTCATTCCCCCAGGTAATCAGTTTCCCCAATCACTGCTTACTCTCGAAATGCCTACAGCAAAACAGTGAAAGGGAAAAGTGCCACCAGAAAAGTGATGGTCTAAATAGAAGTATTACAAAGAATCACAGAGAAAGATAGCCCTTTAACTTTACCTCTTGGAAGTAAAAAACCTCCAAGAGGATTGAAATAGAGCCCCAAAGTTCTTTCAAACACCCATGTTTCCTCAGGAGAATGAAGCAGATGAAATAAAGCATGCAAAAAGACCAACTTGGATGTGAAATTTATAGTTGATTAAAAATAAAGGCTTTAGGAAAAGGGAATGTTTCAATGAAGTGTTAAAAATCAGTATCAGTGTGAAAGCTCTTAACAGCTTAAAGAAAGATAGGATTGATACTATTGATTTTGGTTTTGTCTTGGATTTCAGTATTGCTTAGTTTGGCACGGTGAAGTGGCTTTGCTGGCCAAAAGGAACCTTAGGATGGCCGTGTGGCCAACGACCCCTTGGAGAGAGATTCCAGTTGGTTTTGTGGTTTAAGCACAGATCCACTCAAGAAGGTTCACCCCTACATCTTCACTTGTGGTGCTTGTTCACTACACTGGTGATTGCACAATAAAGCTCCATGAATTCAATTTGATTGGATTCTGGAAACAGGATCACATCTAAGTCCCCAGGGGCTGAAACGTCTGTGTTATATACTAAGATAGCTGTGAGGAAGCGTCATTGCAGTGTCCTGGTGCTGATTACAGGCGCCTTGGAATTTACCTTCTAAGAAGAATCACATGGATTTTATCTTTGGATACTGGAGTGCCACTTAGTAAAAGAGTTGGCAGGGAAGATGTTCTGAAGTCACAGCCACAAGCCCTAATTTACAGCCAATTTGACATTAATTATGAGTCATTTCTTGCTTATCTGTTGCTCATTATTGCAAATGAGATTTTTGGCATGAAAAATAAATTCTGCTTCACATTTTACTGAATGAATAGGAACTGAATAACTTTGTGAGCTGAATTGATGTTTAAAATGGTTGTGTATGTTGACTCCGGAGCATAATTATAATAACTCAGGGAGGTTGATAGTTGAACGTGCTGACATTGACATCTGATTTTGAATGGGATTTCTACTGGAGAAACTTGTAACATATTTATACATGTGGGTTCTTTCATGAAATAAATAAAAGTCATGTGATGTGTAGCCAGTTTGACAAAAACCCCAGAATATGCTTCCTAGTGACTGCATAATTTCTTTGACGACGGATTGAAAAGATGACAGGAGTCTAACCACTTGTTCCTGCTGTTGACATGTTGGGTTATGTTTATCCAATATTTAAGAGTTTATGGTTCAAAATTGCTTCTTAACATGACTATATCTCTGCAGCTTGAAGTCTGACATTTTCCAAATGCCTTATATGATGAAATAATGAGCATGCAGCATTCATATACAAACAACTTAAGTGGATATGTTGTAAACTAGACTAGGGCTCTTAAACCTTCAGAACAAGCTTGTAGAAATGCCTTCACGAGAAAGAGCTCTCAGTACAAACTTACTAATGCTTATGACAAAAGCTATTTGTCTTCCTACCCAGAGAAAGTATCTTAAGAAGCAGCCAACTTCTTATTTGCTTTATTGTTTCTCATTGATGGAACTAAAAATTGACATGATAGTGGGTGATACATCACTCTTAATTCTAGCTTTGTAGAGGAATAAAATAAAGGGCCATCTTTTCAGCTTTACCTATGGATCATCTCCATTCCAGATCCTTCCACTATGTTGATTTTTCTTTTCTCATATCATCTTCACTTATTTCTTTTGATATTATTTTCTACTTTTCCAGTGTCAAGTACTACATTTTCTGAGACTTGTGAAGCCACCATCAATTTTTGAAGAGTAGTGCTATTTTGGCAGTTATAATCTGTTTTATCCTGTTTACATTTAAAAGTCTCCTAAGATTCTGATTGAATCCTAGAGTCCATGGCTATGCTGCGTCTTTCTCAGTTTACTGAACTCAAACAAATGATTCACCTTGTCTGCATATTGCCAGCATCTACTGTTTCCCCTACATATGGCACATGAGTTTGTTCTGGTTATGCCCATCCCTTTAAAACATATTGTAGAACTGTTTTGAGTGCCACTTGCTAGTCTCACTTTTTCTTTCGTTTAGACTACTTATTCTTAATTTTCAGATTTTGATTATCTCAGGACTACTCCCTTAGTCCTGTATTTTCCAAACACCCTACTCACAGGAATGTGTTTGTCAATGGGTTGATGGAATCTGGACAGAATGTGAAAAAAAGTTTTGTGCTTTTGGCCAGTTTCTTTTTCATATCTAGATCAGTGGCATATATCAAAGTAAGATCTTGTTTATACTTCAGGAACTCATTGAAAAATTAAGATTTGGGTGAGGACGACTTTGGACTGATCTAGAGTCTATTTATAACGCCCAGTGTTTTAAAATTTTGTATTACTATTTTTATACTTTAAGTGTCTGAGTGTTTTGCCTGCATGTATGTCTGTATACTATGTGTGTGCAGTACCCAAGGAGGTCATAGGAGAGTATCAGATACCCTTGGACTGGAGTTGCACATGGCTATGAACCATTTTGTGGGGCTGGGAAGTGAGCTCAGGTCCTCTAGAAGAGCAACTCCTGTTCTTAACCTATGAGGCATCTCTTCAGCCAATGTCAGCAGCAGGCACAAACATCCCTCAGTGTATGTCTTCTTTAAAGCCTCAGCAAGTGACCACAATATAGAAGTCCCTACCTTGCAACCTTCACACGTGATGACTCCGTAGTGGATCCCAGAGGATTTATCGCCACAAATTTTGCATGGTATCACTTCAATTTGTGCTGAAAGAATAAAAAAAAAAGGCATTTTGAATGTCCATAATTGTCTTCTTTTCTTATTCTTGTTTCTATGTTCAGACTTACCTATTCTTGCCAAGATATTTGTATTAGATGTTAACAGAAGATGCTGGATGAGAGTGATGGTTTGGGGTCATCATTACTATTTGAATGGCCTTCCTAACCTTCTTCTAAGGCAGTGGTCCTCAACCTTCATGAATCTGGGACCCTTTACTATGGTTCCTTGTGTTGTGGTGACTCCAACCATAAAATTATTTTCATTACTACACCATAATTGTAATTTTGCCATGGTTATGAATAATTTGAGTTTTCTGATGGTCTTAGGGGATCTCTGTGATAGGGTTGTCCAACCCCAAAGGGGTCATTACCCACATATTGAGAATTACTGTTAGGAAAAGACATCCACTTATCACTCTTTGTTTTTCAAACTGAATTTAACACAGACAGACAGACAGACAGACAGACAGACAGACCCCCCCCACACACACTCACACATATGCATGTTTAGAGACCAGATGTTTGCTCCTGCTTTCAACGTTTTTTTTCCCTTTTAAAGCTTGTCTTCCTTAAAATAACATGACAGAAAAAACCTGTGAACTCAAGCCTTTCCATTTCTGATCTTACATTTGAAATAGGAGGTCTTTGGGAGTTTTTACATGGTCTTATCTCAATAATATTTTAAATAACTACATAAAACAAGACTGGAGTGTTGTATATGGTGATGTTACATGTTGTGTAGCTGGATGGACTGGTCATCTCTGTGAAAATACTGTAAATGAATCAACCAAACAGTAACTGAGCACACTTTAATGTTTGCAAAGATACTGAAACATGATGACTCAAGAGAAGATATGGTAATGATCTTGATAGTCTCATGAATAAAAAGTTAATAATGAAGAAATCAGAAAAAGTTATATATGAAATTAACATGCATTTAACTTCACTGGGAATGAAGAGGTTTCTTATACTGTTTTTTAAACAGTATAATGTTTTTTGGGGCATATTAGAGTGACCATGACCCAGGTCATAGGTTTAGGTTATCCCAAATCCAATGTTGAAATGTGTTAAGAGTTTCATAAAGTTCTATAGTTTGTTCTACAGAACAAAGAAAGTCATAAATCAGGGCAAGTTGGAAATATATTGATAGGTACATCAGAGAGGTGGCCACAGCAAGATGGGGGAAGCTTTTCTATGGGTCTCAGATGCTGCCTGATGACAGTTTGAGCTTTCAGGTTAGTGGAAGCTAGTGGTCTGCTAAATTAATGGAGTTTTATCTATTAGTCTTAGGATGTTAGTTCTGACACAGTGGTGCAAAAAGAATGGGTATCCAGGGGGCCAAAGCTAGCATAAGATAGGATAATTACCTCTGGACAGGCAACATTCCAATCACTCCAGATTACTGCAGGTCTAATCGGGAAGACAGTTCATTTTGCAGATTGTGTGGAATTTGGTTAGGTTGAAGAGAATGACAAGGGGCATTGAATGAAAACAGGTCAGAGGTCACGTATGACTGTGGCTGACTATCATACAGAGCAATTGGCTTTAAGGGAAATTTGGGTCACATGACTGCATAGAAATGTGACACCAGAATTTGGAATTGCTGGAGTTAGGCAGGGGAGTTTTGCCTGATCCTATTTGCCACGAGGAATGGACAAAATGAAGGGTAAATAAATGGTGAAAAGAAGTCTATATGTAGCTCCATGTTAGAGTTCACGCCCAGTGTGAGCAAAATCCTAAATGCAGTCCCCAACCAACCCCTACATGAGATGTGAAGGGAGAACCTCAGAGTCTGGCAAGCTAGCCAGAGAAAAGCAGAGGACCAATGAAAGGGCATTCTTGACCAGACTTAGGTGGTGGCAGCATAGGAAGTATAGTAGGACCAAGGGAGGGGAAGAAGCAAGTACAAAAGTGGTTCAGAGGCAGAGGTGAGATTAAACGCTGAAAGATAAGGAAAAGGGAAGCTGATTAAGAACTGGAAGTGAGACAAAGTGATAGGACTGACTGAAATGGTGACATTGAGGCTAAGGATGTGGCTGGGTGGTGAGCACTTGTCTAGCATGCATGAGAGTTAGGTTTGGACTTGGAACAGAAACGGGGACATTTATGGAGTACGGTGTGGTGTGGGACTGGGACACATGCACTTTTCTGTGGTGTCTCACAGGCACCTGAATGCATAATGTCTTAGAAGGACCGTTTTGTCATCCTGTAGGTTATGTATTTAGAATGCAGCAATTCCTGTGTTTGATAGTACTCTAAAGAGTTGTTAAAATTATTCACACTAGAAAGATCTGCTATTTCCTTTCCCAATTTAAAATAATTATGCAAAATATCCTTCAAAATGCTTTGTACATAAAGCTGACACTTGCATACGGTGCTATAGTTTTCTACTTTCAGATAGACAAAACAAATAAGTGGAAAGCATTACCACCTTTTGTTATTACTTTCCATAACAAACGTAATACTTAGCCTTAGGATAACACATTTAAGTTTTTAAAAATTAAATAAGCTACAGAAATTTGAATGGTCTCTCTCTCTCTTTTGTAAGATGAAAAGTTTAAGGCAGGGATTTGGGGATGAGATGTCAAAATGACTGGAGTGATTTCAGGATTTGGGGATGGGGATATAGGAGGTTTGGCTTTATTCTTATTTGACCTCCTAGGTTGCTTTTCTTAATGTATTAATTAGGGTCATAGCTAAGATAAAACTTCTGAACTCACATTTTGTCACTTATAAATATAGTATTAATCAACAAACTTCATAGAATTGTGAGGACAAAATGGGTATTTTCTGAACAAGGTTATCATTGTATCATTGCCATCAACATCACCACCATCACCATACCCATTAACTGATTTTTGTTCTAATGATTTTGGAAAAGAAGCACAATTTGATGTATTATTGCATCTTTATTAAATATATTTTAAAAATAATTCAGTGAATCACACTATGACTTAATTTGTACTATGGATTTCAGTTTAACAATAGCATTTCAAACAGTGGGTTATTTATAGTTACTATAAATGACTAAAATAATCCCAGGTAGCTATTGAATAGTTTTTGGCTTATATGATATTAAGTCAGAAACTCTCTTTGCATAAATTACTCCCCAGGGAGTAGCTTACATGTTGGAGAATCTGCTTCAATACATTCTTAATTATAAAATGATCTAACTTTAAAGGAAATGAAAATAGAGGTAATTTGCTCCCTGAGGTGTAGGAAGATGCTTTTGAAAGACACAAAGGTTATCTTATACATCTTCAGAAATACAAATGAGATAAGGAACATTCAATAGAGCATCTGCATATTTATACATATTCATAACCTTGGCTCTACATGTAATCCTGTAGAGCTACAAACATTTTAATAGCATTTTTAAAGAGAAAGAAGCCACCTATAATGTATATATGTGTTATTATGTGGGAGAAAAAGTTCTCATCTAGAAATCTTATGGCTGTTTTTCTTTTGGCAGGAAAAGTCTGAGGTTTATTAGAAGTGAAAATAAGTCCGAATCATTTAAAGTACTAGCTACTTTCTTTTTCCTCATTAAAATCCCATTTTTGAGCTGCAGCTTTACAGTTTATACTGCGTACAGCATATCTTCAAGCCAGGCTTTCAGACACCACCTAGGATACTAGACTACATCATTGCTCAGTGCTTGCTGTTTACAAGTGTCTAGCTAAGGGCAACTACTTGGCCTCCCTTGGAACTGCACTGTGCAGACCTAGTACCATGTTCTCTATCATTGCTTCAAGCTGAGCATAGGGGGATGTGGATGCTTGGATCTCACCAGCTATTACAAGAAAGATAGGAGGAGGAAACTGAGGAGGGTTGGTCTTTGGCACTTTTCCTTGACTCATGGAGATTTATTATCATCTATTTATCTATCTATCTATCTATCTATCTATCTATCTATCTATCTATCTATCTATCTATCTATCCATCCATCTATCCATCGATCATCTATCTACCTATCATCTGCCTGTCTGCTGCCTGTTTGTCATCTGTCTGCCTATCATCTATCCATCTATCTATCTATCTATCTATCTATCTATCTATCTATCTATCTATCTATCATCAAGTTTTCAGTGCAAAACTCATTGAGAAACAAATTTAGAGGATCTAGAATGGCCTGAGAGATAGAGAAATTTTACTCAGTTTTTATTTTGTGCAGTTTATTAAGTCCCTCTTGCCTTTTCCTTGCCCAGAGACTCCTGGCCAACTTTGCAGGAAATCTTTGTCTCAGTTTTTCCTGCTTATTGAAATATGCACCTCTTTAGTTCTGCCCCATTCAAGCCCCTGCTGGTTACAGCAGGTGTTAAGGTCAGAAAACCAATTCAGGCTAATGAGTTAACCAGAAAATGGCTCAGAAAAATACTTTGACTCTTAAAAAGCATCCCTCAGGAAGGCAGTGATGTTGAGCCTGCCAGGTACTTTATGCTTGGGGGTAGTGGTGCATTTTACTGTACATAATCTTGAAGCTTTCCATTCCTACTTATCCAAGTCTCCCAACTCCCAGCCTGGCCATTTTTATATTCTGGGCATTCTATGTTGCAGCAAGGGTAAGGCTCTGCTTCTTTGTGTGTGTGTGTGTGTGTGTGTGTGTGTGTGTGTGTGTGTGTGTGTGTGGTATGCATGTATGGTCAATGTATGTGTGGGTGTCCACACAAATGCATTTGCATGTAAAAGACTGAAGTCAACAGTGTCTTACTTTCTTGCTTTCCACATTTTTTTGTTTTTTGTTTTTTGTTTTTTTGAGGTAGGGATTTTTACTGAACCTGCAGCTAAACTGGCTGACCAGCAAGTTCCCACATCTGCCGGTTCCTATTTTGCATAACTGGGAATGTGTGCCTCTACTGTGCTCAGCGTTTCCATGGGTGCTAGAGATCTGAACCCAGGTACCCATGCTGTATAGCAATCACCTTATCAATGGAGTCATCTCCCCAACCCTTGCCTTTTGTTTTCTATGTTGTCTAAATGGACTCAAA